GCCTTCCCTGGCTGCGTCCCCTCATGTTTTAGCTCTTCTAGTGGCCCAGGCTACTCTTGCTCTTTGGCAGAGTGAATGGAGGAAGGAGATTGGCTCACCCTCTGTGGGACAGTCTTGGCAGAAAGAAAGGGGGAGAGCAGTTGAGGGGGCTGAGGGCCACCCCAGACAGACAAATACCCCATTCAAAATGCATCCAGCACTCAATGTAACTTTGGGCTCTGGTGTCCAGGCAATTTGGCCTTGTCTGATTAAGCCAACTCTTCTTCAGCCACACCCTCTAAAAACCCCAGGGCTAACCTCTATGAAAAGGATCCCACATTGCTGATTGGATTGGTTTCCCCAATTCCCATCCTCAGATGAAACGCTGAGCCCAGGGAAAACCAGTCAGCCAGCCCATGAAGCAGGGGGGTTGCTTTACAACAGCGGTTCTGGGCAAGGATGAACTGCCCCCCAGGGCACATTCGGCAATGTCTGGAGAGATGTTTGGTTGCCACAGCTGGAAGGGGGGTGCCACTGGCATCTAGAAGGTGAAGGCCAGGGATGCTGCCCTTCTGTGATGCCCGGGACAGCACCCCCAGCAAAGAGTTCTCAAGGCCACAATGTCAGTCGTGCCCAGGTTGGGAAACCCTGCTTTAAAGTCAAACAGACCCGGGTTCAAACTCCAGCTCTGCCTTTACCTATGTATGCTTCACCCATGTGCAATTTCAGCAAACCAATAACCTCTCTAAACCTTGGTTTCCACACCTGTAAAACCTCATTCCTAGACAAAGCATTGTAGGGGACAAGAAATATCATTCTTTCCTTTTTTTTTTTCTTCCTCCGACTTATAAAGAATGTTCTGGGCTATCTTTAGGAGAACCACTCAAAGAATGTGGCATTTGGTAATCACTAATGGAGCCTTCCAGCCCTGAAATTGTCTTCCACACTTAAGCTGTCACCTGCCTCCTTCCCGAAGTGTATTTCTCCCACAGAAACAGGGCTGGGCGCCCAAGCCCTTCGGGATACCCCTTCAGGACACCTTCTACCGCAGCCAAAGCCACGCCAGGCAGGGATTCTGCACGGCGCGCGTCCCCCTCCCCGCCCAAGGCTAGCTGCGCTGTGGTCCCTGGCTGTGCCCCCAGGGACCGACCCACGGAGGGGGGGGCGGGGGCGCTCATTTCCGGTGGAAGTGGACTTGAGCTCAGCCTTTTCTCTTGAACCACACAGCGGGCAAACGTCAATTAGCCCAGCCCTGAAAAATGAGTCGGCGCTCTCCGCGGGCGGGGCAGGGCGGGGCAGGGCGCCCCCACCCCCGGGGTTGCTGCCCCGTTTCCCTATTGTGCCGCCAACAAGAGCGTTTCATTGAAAAGAGCTGAGTGCATCTAATGCAGTTATCCGTGTCCGCCCCATCGGGCCGTGGGCTGGGGCCGAGGGCGCAGCTGCCGCCGCCTCACAGCCCGCAACAAAGGAGCGCGCCGTGGAGAATGGCTCCCCTTTGAAAGGCTCATCTGGTTTCCATTTTTGAAAGGCCCCCAATCTTCGCTTCCACCCAGCCCCCACCCACCTTCACCCTTCCCCTCTCCCCTCGTCCGTGCTCTAGCTGTGCTCCGTGGAGGGAGCGCCCCACACTCCCCCATGTGGCCACCCCCGTCACGCGTAGTGCAGGCTTCACCCCACTCTGGGCAGGGCCGCCCTGAACCGCCCACCAGCCTGAACCACCTGGCCGGGCTTGGGCCTCAGTTTCCCCCCTGTTAAAATGCCCTGGTTGGTTGGATGCCACCTTGATGGCCTTCAACTCCAGCGGTCTGTGAGTCAGTGAACTGCTTTGCGAATTATGCGGCAAGTACATAACAGCGTAATTAAGAAATTTTAAGTTGCCCTAAAATTTCACAGCCTGGAGGTAACCGCTACCAATGTTCCGGAGCATATTCTTCTCCTCTTTTTCGCCGCATATAAAATTCTCGTTGTCTGATGGGGATCGTGTTGCGTCAACAGTTTTATCTCCTGCTTTTGCTTTATCTGGAGCATTTTTCTATGTAAGTCTGAAAATTTTTAAGCAGCTATACACCATTAAGGGCCTGTACGGCAATTCAGTTAACTGGTTCCCCCATTGTTGAACATGTAAGTTGTCTTCCTGTTTGCTTGGGGTTTGTTGTTTTGTTTTGTTTTCACTATTACAAATTACAAATTCATTTTTTTAAATAGAATCCTCCAGTGGCTTCCCAAGTTGACCCCTGGGACTAAACCCCACCCCACTATAAATCAAAAGTGTAAGGCGGGCACTTCCACCTCTTCTAGGGCTGGCAAGGAGGGGAAAGGTCATCCCTGGCCTCCTCCTCCCCTCCCTGACACCTCCAGGCACCTGCAAGTTGGAAATTCACATGTGAATCATGGCCCTTGTAAATCATGGCCTTGGGCAAGCTGCATAACCCTCACGGTTGTCTCGCAATGAAGATACACTCACATCCCCTCAGAGGGCGATTGTGGGAACTAAGTGAAACAGGAGACCCAGCGTGTTAGCTGATGCCTGGCGCTCCGCAGTCTTCCCACCCCTCCCCGCCCCCCCCCCCCCACCCGTTTGACGGAGGCCAAAGGCTCGGGTGAGTTTCAGGCCTGCCAGGCTGGTGGAGAAGGTGAAGAGTGGGCCTTCTGGAGCCGCCAAACCCTGACCTCAGAGCAGAGCTTGTGGCTAGGGCGCCGCTCCCCGGCTGTCCCATCTGCTGTGTGACCTTGGGCAAGTTTCCTGATCCTTCTGTGGCTCAGTCTCCCCACCAACAAAATGAGGAATTGTGAGAATTACAATGAAGTCATACCTGACAAGTACATGACACCTCACATATGTCAGAGTGGCTGTCATCAGAATGATGGCATCATGCTGGCAAGGCCGTAGAGAAAAGGGAGCCCTCCCACACACTGTTGGGGGGAATGTAAACTGGTACGGCCACTGTGGAAAACACTAGGAAAGGTTCCTCAAAAAATTAAATATAGAAATAACATATGATCCAGTAATTCCATGTCTGGGTATATATCCAAAGGAAACAAAATCACTATCTCGAAAAGATATCTGTACCCCATGTTCATTGCAGCATTATTTACCATAGCCAAGACTTGGGAAACAACCTAAGTGTCCACCGATGGATGAATGGATAAAGAAGATTTACACACACACACACACACACACAGAGGAATATTATTCAGCCATAAAAAAGAAATTCTGGGGGCACCTGGGTGGCTCGGTCATTAAGCGTCTGCCTTCAGCTCGGGTCATGATCCCAGGGTTCTGGGATCGAGCCCCACATCGGGCTCCTTGCTCAGCGGGAGGCCTGCTTCTCCCTCTCCCACTCCCCCTGCTTGTGTTCCCTCTTTCGCTGTGTCTCTCTCTGTCAAATAAATAAAATCTTTAAAAAAAAAAAAAAAAGAGGGGCGCCTGGGTGGCTCAGTCGGTTAAGCGGCTGCCTTCAGCTCAGGTCATGATCCTGGAGTCCCGGGATCGAGTCCCGCATCGGGTTCCCTGCTCAGTGGGAAGTCTGCTTCTCCCTCTGACCCTCCCCTCTCTCATGCTCTCTGTCTCATTCTCTCTCTCAAATAAATAAATAAAATCTTAAAAAAAAAAAAAAAGAAATTCTGCCATTTGTGACATCATGGATGGACCTTGAGGGCATTATGCTAAGTGAAATAAGTTAGACAGAGAGAGGCAAATACTGTATGAACTCACTTATATGTGGAATCTCCAGAAAACCAAAAACTCATAGCTACAGAGAATAGATTGGTGGTTTCTGGCAGCAGGGGGGTTAAATGGGTAAAAGTGGTCAAAAGCTGAAAACTTCTGCTTATAAGATAAATAACTTCTGGGAATGTTATGTACAGCATGCTGACTATTGTTATCAATACCGTATTCTATGTATATTAGAAACTTGTTAAGAGAGTAAATCCTAAAAGTTCTCAACACAAGGAAAAACGTCACTATGTGAGGTGATGCATGTTAACTAGACTTGTAGTAATCATTTTGCAGTACATACCTATATCAAGTCATTATTTGGCTAAATCATAATTCGGCTAATACCATGTTCTATATCAGTTCTATCTTAAAATGGGGGGGAGTATGTAAAAACAGTGCCTGGCACATACTAAGTGCTCAATAAATTTACCTATCATCATTTGTACCCACCTGCCCTGCTTACGAACAGTACGGCCAGCCTCTGCCCCAGGGACTAGTTTTCTCTTTTGTCTCCCCAGATAGCTGGTTCTAGATCCTTATCAACACAGGCTCCTGCCTTCAACCTCAGGCCCAGCTCTACCTGGAGGACCCCAAGACCTTGGAAAGCTGGACCCCAGGTAGATGCTGATCCTCAGCAAAGAGCCCAGGCCCCCCGAGATCCTCACAGAGCACTCACAGCCCATCGGCACCGTGGCCGCTGCTTCTGGGATTTGGCATTCCTGCAGGGCCAGAGAAGGGCACACACTGGGAGTGAGGAGGGTGCCTTACTGTGACCTTGAATCTCCTCTCTTGCCCTCTCAGGACTTTCTGCTCATTTGTCCAGATAAGAGTAACACCTGTAGCAGCCCTCATTGACGTAGGGCCCACAGATATCAAACCCATAGCTCATTTCATCCCTGGAAAGTGTTATTGTGGTCTCTATGAATTATCAACTGACTGAACGATGAAGCATGGAAACTGGGCTCAGAATGGTTAAGCAACTTGCCCAAAGTGGTGGAGCAGAAGTTTGAACTCATGTCAGTCTGACCACAAAATCCTACTCTTCCACAAACACCACGCGGTTCACATTCCTTCATCAGTGGGGCTGGAGTGGCAGAGACCATTCCCTGCAGGCCATGCCCCGGGGAACCTGAAAATGGAGGGCCTTTGAGGTAGGGTTGCCAGAGATTTAGCAAGATACAGGACACCCAGTTAACTTTGAATTTCAGATAAACAGTGAATTTTTAGTGTAAGTATATCCCCATGCACTATTTGGCATATACTTAAACCAAAATTCTTCATTATTTATCTGATGTTAACTAGGCATCCTATATTTTATCTGGCAGCCCTGCTCTGAGAGCTTCATTTACACTCCCCAGTAGCTGGTTTATTAGTGGATGAGAGGCACAGTCTTGGCCTCTGGATTGAATCACAATGATGTGCTGTCACTTAATCCCTTCTCATCTCTGTGCCACTTTTATAACTCGGAGATCACGTGACTTGTCTAAGACCACAAGGCTGGAACTTGAACCACACACAGCCCCAATCTCCTGAGCCTCCTGATATTATTACAGTGTTCAGCGAAGTGGTCGCCACAGCCCAAGGGAGGATCTGCGCTTTCCAGTGTAAAATGGTCACACTAGCTGCATTGACATAAGAAACATGTGAGATTTTCAACAAGTAATGTAACCTAAGGGCTCTCTCTTCTTTTAAGATTTGTTAAGAATCTTTTGGTTACAAGCGACAGAAACCCTGATCTAAACGGACTTGGACTAAGAAGGAATTGATAGCTCATGTTACTAAAAAAGTCCAGGTGACCCCAATGATGGGAGGCAACTGACCGATCTCCCGATGCCCAAAGTTGGAATATTTTGAGCAACAAAATACAGTGTTGGATTATATCCCAAAGTATAAAATAAATATACAAGAGTATTTATATTTATATAAATAAATGATTGAATAAATAAATGGGGGGAAAGAGACAAATCTCCCACACAGAAGATTCCAAATAATTTATGTAGATACTCCATCCTCAAAGGGAAGGAACATAAATCCCCACTCCTTAAGCATGAGCTACCCATGCTGACTCCCTTCCCAAAAGTGCAGTCTAGAAAAAGGGAGATTGAAAAAGTAACTTTACAGCGGAGAAACCTGACCAACCTAACCTCAGCCGGGTGATCAAGGTCAACAGTAACAGTGATAAGGCACGTTAACAGTATGTACCTTTGATATGTTGTGATGAGAATGGCACTCGACTTCTATGGGCTTCCTCTGAAAACATATAACCCAGTCTATTTATGAGAAAAACATCAGACAAACTCCAACTGGGGGGCATTTTACAAAATACCTGACCAGTATTTCTCACCAGTGTTGAGGTAACCAAAAACAAGGAAAATCTGAGAAAATGTCACAGCCAAGAGAAGCCCAAGAGGACATGAGGACTAAAAGTAGTGTGGTGTTCTGGATGGGCTCCTAGGACAGAAAAAGGGGCATGATGGGAAAAGTAGGAACACCTGAATAAAATATGGACTTTATTTAATGAAAATGTATCAGTATCACTTCATTAACTAATATGTATACCATACCAATACAGGATGTTAATAATGGGAGAACCTGGGTCCGGGTCTATGGGAACTCTCTATATTATTATAATTTTTCTGTAAATCCAAAACTATCCTTAAATTAAAAGTTTCCTTAAAAAGGTGGGGGGGGCACCTGGGTGGCTCAGTCATTAAGCATCTGCCTTCGGCTCAGGTCATGATCCCAGGGTCCTGGGATCGAGCCCTGCATCGGGCTCCCTGCTCAATGGGAAGCCTGCTTCTCCCTCTCCCACTCCCCCTGCTTGTGTTCCTCTCTCACTGTGTCTCTCTCTGTCAATTAAATAAATAAAATCTTAAAAAAAAAAAAAAAAAAGCCAGAGTCTTCATGGCTGGACTTGGAGTTCAAATAACATCTTCATCTTTGGACTCTCCCTTCCTCCCTGTAGGCTTCATGTTCCACATGATAACAATATGGCAGCACCACCTCCATCACAATGTCCTCTCAGATGAGAGTTCAGCAGAAAGGAGCAGCCACTCCTGTCCCAGCATTCCAGGAAGTCTCTTTGTGCCTCACTGCATCTGGTGAAGCCACGGGGTTCCATCACTGGGGTTAGAGGAAGGAGAAACCATGACGGGCTTCCACGGGGCTTCAGCTCTGAGTCAGGGGCTGACTGTGGAGAAGATGAAGGCCGCAAAAACTTGGGAGCTGTTACCTGCAGCAGGTGAATGGATGTTTGAAGGTCAAAAATCATCAGTGTCAAATGCCCCCTTCCAACATTTTTGGTGCTAAAATGTCCCTATGTGAAATGATGATGATTCTTTAATATCCCTACTTGCCAAAATAGTTGTATCTGTCCGTCATTGTTTTCTCTGTATCTGTCCATCAGTGTTTTCTATCTGATTCAAGAAATCCCAACATGGAGAAACCACTGTTCAAGTCTGACCTACAGAGATAAAGCATCTCAGATGAAAGAGTAGGAGCAATGAGTTTTTGGGCCATTCTGACCTCTCTTTAGGACTTCATCTTGAGATCCCAAGGAACTGTGGTCACAGTCTGTACCAGGACCAATGGAGCATAAAAGCCAGAGGGCTCCCCAAGGAGGACTGATGCAGGAAAGGCTGGGAGACCCCCCAGTTGTCATAATAATATTTGGTGATGCTCACAATGAGCCAGCACGCCCCTAAGCAAGTCCATGCAGGAATTCCTGTGGTCTTCCCAGTAGTGCCCTGCAGCAGGCATTATCCCCATTTTATAGATGGGGAAACTAAGGCAGAGAGCACTTAAGTCAATTTGCCCAGAGCTGGCAGTTGATGAACCACAATACTAGAAACCATTATTTTAAAACTAAAATAGGAAAATGACCCCAAAATACAGAGAGTTACCATTGTCCTTCCTCTGGCTGGAGAGTAACTTCAGTTTTTAACCTCATTTCAGGTGCCGGGCCTTGCAGGAGAAAAGAAGTAATCTCTCTCTCAAAAAAATAAGGCAATAAAAACAAGCAGCAGGGAGGGACTGAATAGGCTACCTGAAGAAAACACAGATTCAAGATTCTGAGTTCAATCCGCATCTGTGTGTTGTTTTCCTTGGCTGATGCATGAGACACTTTAATGCCAACTTGATTTTTCTTCCCCTCTTCTGAGCCCGTTGTCAGTTTGCACCACCAGTTCACCCTGCCCGTTCCCTAGCTCTGGGCCCAGCTGCAGCAGGCGTTCAGAATGAGCTTGGCTCTCCTGAGCAGGGGCACTCCCTGCTGGGGACTCAGCCTGGCCCAGGGCCCTCCGGCTGAGACTGGACATGGGGACCCTGCATGCTGACCCTCCTTCGGAAATCTGCATAGGACTGATTTTTGGCTCTCAGTTCCTCACTATTACCTCACTGTCCACAGTGACCATTGGAAAAAAAGTCATTCCAAATTCATCTCAGGTCGCCTGGATGGCTCAGTCGTTAAGCGTCTGCCTTCGGCTCAGGTCATGATCCCAGGGTCCTGGGATCGAGCCCCGCGTCGGGCTCCCTGCTCCGCGGGAAGCCTGCTTCTCCCTCTCCCACTCCCCCCGCTTGTGTTCCCTCTCTCGCTGTGTCTCTCTCTGTCAAATAAATAAATAAAATCTTTTTAAAAAAATAAATTTAAAAAAATTCATCTCATTATCTTCTACTACGAACCTCATTCCCTGCTGGGGACACATACTGCTGCCACCACCTGGCCAGTCATTCAAACCAGAACCCCAGGCCGTCACACCCCATAAATCCTGGGAATTCAACTCCTCGAGGTCTGTCCACTCAGCCCCTCCTCCCAACTCCACTGCCTTGCCTGTCCTCATGCCTCACCTGGTTTCTAGCAACTCCTTCAAACCTTCTGCCAAGCCATTCCTCTACTCTCTGGGTTGTCACACTGTGACACCCAGTGACAATCAAGTTCCTAAAACAGGCAGGGACCCCCACTGCCTACAGGATAAAGGCTGAACCCTTGGGATTCCTGAGGGCCCACCTGAGTTCTATGAATCATGGGAGAGACAGGAGAGATGGGGGACATTGTCTTTGTCCCCAGAGAGTCACAACAAAATTGGGAAGGCGAGAGAGACAGAGGAAGCTGCTTGTGAAGTAGACCCACGGGTTTATAGACGTGCAGTGTGTAGAGCTCAGTAAGTAGAATCCATACTAGTAAGTCGCATTGTCGTTATTGTAGGATGTCATGTGCCCATAGCTAGCCGTGCTTGCTCTAAGTGGACCAGGCCAATTCCAAGAGCCAGCTGTGGCCCCACAGAGACCTCACCCCTATCCTACGCACCAGGGGCCTCTGTTTTGACATTTGCCAGGAGGGACAGCTTTGGAAAAAAGCTCTGGGATGCTCAGATGAAAGGTGTTGGAATGTCCAGGCTTCTCTGGATCTGCCTGTCAGCATCTGTCCAATTCCTCACAACCACCACCGCCTTCCTGCCCAGATCAGGCTGGACGTCCTGTGCTGATTCAGAGCCCTTCCCCAAGAACATCTCTGGGCCCTCGGACCCTCGGACCTCTAGACCTCAAAGAGGCATGTCCAGTTTCCTCACACAGGTAGCCAGCAGCCCCAAGCCCAGACCCAAGGCCACAACACTAAGCTGTCATTGGAAGTCCAGCCTTGCTTTCCAGAGAGCCAGCAGCCTGTGTAGGGCTTGGCTCACAGCCTCCGCAGTTCTCCCCGGCCTCTGCCCTTCCAGTCCCTCCCCTGCTTCTTCCCCTCTGCTCTTGGCCACTTGCTCTGCGCCAAACTCCAACACCCTCAACGGTTTCCCAACTGCTTGCTGCCGCATCTGGTTCTGGGGAGCAGGTCAGCAGTGAAGGAGTCGCGCGTGTGCAAACAGCCCCAGCTGGCCCCAGCCGCTCACACCTGCACACTCCATTCATCCCCACTGTTTACACATTGTCATCCGCAATTAATGCTTTCCCAGGAACTGCAGCAGGCTGATTGCCCCACCGCCACACAGGGACCCCATTCTGAGCCCTTGTGTCTGTTAAATTGAGCATGGGGCCCTGTGATTAAATTAAGGTTTGTGGCTCTGCTACTCTGGCCCCCGCTCCATCCTCCTCCCCCTCGTCCTCCCCCTCCCCCTCCCCTTTCTTCTCTTGCCCCCCCTCCCTCTCCTTCCGCTTTTCCCTATTCATCACGGGGCTTCTTTGTGACCTGATGGGGGGGAGGTGGGCACGGGGGAAATGGCCTGGCCCCTGGACAGGGAGGAAGAGTGGACGTCTTCCATTTAAAGCAAGGATAAAAGGGATGCGTTCATGACCCCTTGTAAGAGGAGCTCTAGGGAGAAGAGACAGTGTGGAACTAGAAAGAAGAGGGTGGTGTGAGGCCTTTGCTAAATTAATTAATCAATTTCTAGCATGGCAGAGTGGTTAAGGATACAGGCTCCAAGGTAAGACAGAGTTTGGGTTCAACTCCTGCCTCCATCACTTTCTACCTCTGGGATCTGATTCAAGTTTGGTGAGTCTTGGCTTCTCTGCGCTGGGCAGAGGAATCAGAATGAGCAAGGAAACAGGGGGAGCAGGTACCCTTGAGATGATGTGAGGAGAACGGCACTTTACCTCTGTGGTCTTCCTCCCCAAAACCCATAAACACAATCTAATCTTGAGAAAAACAACAGACAAATCCCAAACAAGGGACATTCTACAAAATATCTGACCAGTTCTCCTCAAAAACAAGGGCAGTCTGAGACAGTGACATAGCCAAGGGAAGCCTAAGGAGACGTGAGGACTACAGGTCATATAGTATCCTAGATGGGATCCTGGAACAGGAAAAGAATGCTAGGTAAAAAATGAGGAAATCTGAATAAAATATTGACTTTAATGAATAACGATATACTGATATTGGTTTCATAATGGTATTTAGTGTACCATACAAATGTACGATGTGGATAATAGAGAAACCTGGGTGCACAGTATATGGGAACTCTCTGTACTCTCTTTGCAATATTTCTGTAAATCTGAATCTTTCTTAAAAAATAAAGTTGACTCTTGAAAAGTGGGGGGAAAGAGACGGGCTTCTGAGAAAATGGTGGGAGTAGCACAGTTGTGGAAACTCCCGTGAGTCCCCCCGCAGCATATGGAATAACCAGGATAGCCAAGCCAGAGCCCCACAGACAGCATCTGCAACAGCACTAAACAAGGTATCCCAAAAAACCAGGAGGCCCCTCCCCAATTCCCAAAACTCACTGGAAATGCAGCAACTTAATCTAAGCTAAGTAGCTGAAATGCAGAGGACCCAGTTCATGGGTCAGGATGAGTCACCACAGCGCAGCCGTGACTGATGGCACCGGGTCCTACAACCTCCCAAAACTAACAAGCCATACCCCCTTCCAGAGAAAGCCCCACCTGGAACCAGAAGTGCTGGAAACACATGGACTTGGAACAGGACTGGACACAAGGAGCAAAGGAGAGAAAATGTCAGAACGGGAGAGGGAGTCTGAGGAAACAAGTCTCAGAAAACAGCAGGTCATCTTTTTTTTTTTTAAATCATTTTGCAAAAACAACCGAGGAAGGAGTTCTAGAGCCAAGAAGAAACTCTCCTCACTCAGCCCTCTCTCCAAAAATACTCCACTCACTTAAAAAAAGTAGGAAAGAAATGGATCACTTGAACATCCGAGCAAAAAGATCAAATCACTTATAAGGGAAAGAAAATGAGGTTGTCATCGGACCTTCCAACAGCAGTTTTGTTTGTTTGTTTGTTTGTTTGTTTGTTTGCCAAAATACAATGGAATAACATATTTAAGATACTCAGGAAAAGAAAATGTGAGCTGTGGACCTTCCGGTATAAAGGCCACGGTAAACTGTAATAACATGCAAGAACTCAAGAATATTTTTTCTGTAATCCCTTCCTGAGGAATCTACTAGAAAATTAGGTTTTAGAAAACAAAAAATGCTGGAAAGCATCTACATGAGCACTGGTGGTGGGCACTGAATATAAATTTACCCATAAAATGATGACCCAGTGTACACTGACACAAAAGTGTACCAGGAATATGTAAATCCATTAAAAAAACCAATAGAAGTGACATTAAAAGAAACAAAGAAGGGCATTTTATAATGGTAAAGCTTATAAAGCTTTATATAAAGTCATAAATGAGACGAGATAGGATGTGGTGCTTATGTGCTCGGAAAAGGTAAATAAATACAATGTAACATCATAAATGAGGCCAGAATGGAGAATGTGTGTAGGGAAAATAGAAGCAGCATGCAGACTGCTTTGTAAGCATCATGTGAGAATAAGAATATTAGGTCAAATACCAGTGGAAAAGGAGGGGATAGGGAGAGGAGTTTACCACCTAATTTTAACATGGTTCCTATTATGGCCCGAAAAGACAATAGGCCACCTCCAAGTTGAGGAAGAGAGGGTACTACATGCATGATAGAAAGGTATGAATATAGGACACCTGGGTGGCTCAGTTGGTTAAGCGACTGCCTTCGGCTCAGGTCATGATCCCAGGGTCCTGGGATCGAGTCCCGCATTGGGCTCCCTGCTCAGCGGGGAGTCTGCTTCTCCCTCTGACCCTCCCCTCTCTCATGCTCTCTTTCTCTCATTCTCTCTCTCAAATAAATAAATAAAATCTTTAAAAAAAAAAGAGGTATGAATATAAAGACAGCTGTTAGAACAAAAGTAAAACCTTCCTAAATACCAAAAGGTATATTGAGAGAGAGATGAAAAAGTCCACACAGTGAAAGAATTATGACAAAATATGTGAACAACAAAACAGATTTATGACATATAACATACGACAGAACTGAGCCAAACACTGATCATACCAATTGTGTAAATATGCTTACCTCACCTAATAAAAGAAGAAATGTTTAGGTTGGCCAACAAAGTAAAATGAAAAATCTACGCTATGTATGTAAGAGACATACCTAAACAGGGATTTAGACAGGTTAACAATCTTTAAATGCACAAAAGTATACCAGGAATATGTAAATCCATAAAAAAAACCAATAGAAGTGACATTAAAAGAAACAAAGAAGGGCATTTTATAATGGTAAAGCTTATAAAGCTTTATATAAAGTTGTTAATATATTATTAATATATTAATACATATATATCAAGTTATTAATACTTACATAAGGAGAAACTGTAGCTTTTGCAAGGAAAAATATAAACACAGCAATAGAAGATCATGACATTTTTATGAACCAGTCTCAGAAGTCATTACACCATTTGCACCATATGCTATGGGCCATGGTAATGACAAAGGTCCACACCATTTCTAGCAAAGAGACAGGCTTTACCTCTTGCTGGAGGAGGAGGTTTCAGAAGAGCACATGGGACGGGGAATAGTGTTGCACCATCTTTGAAAATTGCGCTCTGCCATAACCATCTATTCTGTTGGTGAGGCTACAGGGAAATGTTAGAATTTCATTTTAAAAGTTTAGAAAGGAAGACAAATGGAGGGGAAGGACAGAATATTGATCTGCCAAGATCTCTGAAAACCATACTTCTGTGATATGAGGTTAATGTATTCCAGTTAAAATCATGGTCAAAAAGTTTCCCAGAGGGCGCCTGGGTGGCTCAGTAGGTTAAGCGTCTGCCTTCAGCTCAGGTCATGATCTCAGGGTCC